AGCTAGATAATAAGCTAAACGGCATCCTGAGACAGGTCTATTTTCAACAGTGGACTAGAAAGGTCTTTAAAAAAGCACCAATTGAGTTTCTCAGCGGCTTCTGTGCAGAACTGCCTTTCGGGTCACTGACTGGTAGCTTCCTCAAGAACCCACATATTGAAATTTAATAAAAAAAAATTAAATATAATATATTAATGATTCAAAAGCTCTTGTAAAAGTTTCTTTAAATAAAGTATAATTAGATTTGTTTAAGGCCAAATTTGGCATAAGATCAAAGATGAAATGAAAGAACAAAATGTATATAAGTTATATAATAAAGTAAATAAAAAAAAGTTTTTTTACATGAACAGAAACAGTGCTAAAGATATAAAAAACTTTTCATTGTATTGGCTTAACTTTCATATTGGCTTTAAAAGCAGTGGCGCGTGTTTGTTTGATATGGAAAACCTTTTTCCCCAGTATTTTTATTCTGTACCCTTTCTTTATAAGTTAACGATAAGTTAAGAATCACAGTAAAATAAAACAGCTAAATAAAGTAAAACTCGAAATGATGATTGTTTTATATAATGACTCTGTGGATCTAAGTGTTGGGGATTCGATTCTAGTGCCAGTTTTATTTTTTAAACCCCGACGCAAAAAGAGGGGTGTTATAAGTTTGACGTCGATTTGTCTGTCTGTGTATGTGTGTGTGTGTGTGTGTGTGTGTGTGTGTGTGTGTGTGTGTGTGTGTGTGTGTGTGTCTGTGGCATCGTAGCTCTCAAACGGATGGACCGATTTCGATGCGGTTTTTTCTCATTTGAAAGCCAGTTTCTATGTTTGCTTAATATCGGTCAGTAATCAGTGCTATATTTGGTTAGTATCGGTCCGGCAGTGTAAGAGTATCACCTCTTATCCAAAATGATGTAAGGCATTTTGGCGCATGATTACTCGATAAGTGCTTTACGAGTGCCAGTGTAATCGTTAGACAATTAATTTGCGTAGGGGGTGTTTTAAATGTTTAATTTATAATTAATAAATTACATGGCATTTTTATAAATAAATTCGTTGTTAATAAGATTATAAAAATATATTTTTACTAATATTAATAATAATCATTAATATATTAATTTTAGCAGCTATATTTTTTTAAGATCTACGTAAATAATTAAAATGAAAGTTAGCTCATCTGTATTACGACTATTAAAATCTATTCAGTACTTTCTTTTTTTAATGATCACACAAAAATTCTACGTACTATGGATTAAACTTTTTGGTGTTTTAAAATAACTCACATACAAAATATTCGAAAAAATTGGTTTCCATATTTTGTAAACAATTTTAATATATGTATTGATGTAGATTCCAAATAGCCTGACACCTAATATGCATACATTTGCCTTCCAATTCTAGCCTCCAGCAACTATGAAATATTATCTATACATATGATAAAATTCTAACTAAGCCGAATCTGTACATTCAATATTTTTTGGAAAATCTTATTAAAATAGCCAATATTATCGATACAGAGGCCGAATCTATAGTTTTTAGAATTTTTGTTTGTCTGTCTGTTACCGCATCACGAGAAAAATACTGGACAGATTTTGATGAAATTTGCTATGGTGATAGCTGGTTATCCGGTTCAACATATAGGATACTTTTTACCACGGGAAAATATCTCATTTTTAAGAAAAGATGCAAAAGCTGCAATGTAAGTAGGTATACTAATATGTAAAAAATAAGAATTTGGTTTTTGGACATCTGAACGCGGGCGGAGCCGCGGTCAATGCTAGTAAAGTTTAAAGAAACTTTAATTTTACGGTAATTAATATTAAATATATTCCAAATGAAATTAAAATTTTAAAATCGAGTTTATATAAAGTTTCAGCCAATTACAAGTTTGGCTCCGTTTGGAGTGATAGTACCTGCTGTGCCAGCGGTCGCGAATTCGAGTCCCGCTGGGGGCATTCACTTATGTGATGAGCACAAATATTTGTACTCAGTCATGGGTGTCTATATTTATAATATGTATGTAATTAAAGTTATATATATATATATATATATATATATATATATATATATATATATATATATATATATATATATATATATATATATATATATATATATATATTTATTTGTTAATTTTTATTAAGTGTTTTTTAAGAACATTTGAGTATTTTCGTCAAAAATAATATCGTATTTATAATCGTCAAAAATATAGTCTAGGTCTAAAGAGTCCACATTTTTAATGATAAAAAATAGTTATATATTTTTCATTTAACGATTTATATATTATATGTTAAGCTCATTAAAAATAATTAAAAATAAATATCCAATGTATAGATAAATATCCAAGTGCAATACGCATTTAACGTATATACTTATTATAAATTATAGAGATACTTATATAACTAGATACTTAGTTTGTTTTACATAAAAATAACTTTTGTATAATATCTTAAAACAGACGTTGTGTTTAACTTTCCTTCATTAAAAATTATTTATATAATTACGAAGTGCGTATTATACGTACTTGTACTCGTAGTTTGAACTAGAGAGTTCAATTATAATAAATGCTAGAAGTTACAGTAGAAAGAATATACCCGTACCTTGTTTTTGTTGTGCAATGACTTTTCTCCCAGTCGAGTGAAAAGTTGTATGAGTTCTAACAGAAAGATTATAGTCTTCTATGTAGTAAACTTGTATACGTTTAACTTAATGTTTTAGCTTTAAAACTCAAGAGCACTTAAAGTATTAATTTTTCTGTTTTTCTCAAACGAGATGCGAGCCTGAAACATAATGATGTTATAAATAATACCAAAGTAAGTATAATGTGTTTAATGCATGCGTAATAAAATAAAAGTATTCCAAAGAGACAAAGGAAAATTCTGTCTTTTTGCTTAACTTTTGCGTGCTTTAATCTGATAAATTCTAAACGCACTTTATGTACATAATTGTAAGAGGTTTAAAACTTATAATTTTATTAATTGGAATATGACTCTTATTTGAGGCTTTGCTGTTTTAATAGCGAAATCTGATGAATTTCTAAGAAAAATGTGGTTTAAACTAGCTTTTTTATAAATAAAAAAAATATTTAGTGTATTTAAAATAATTAATTATATAGTTTAAAATATATTGAGATGAAACAAACTGAGTTTATTTATTTATTTTCAGCTAGCACGACTCAGAACGTACACTTTTTTTGGTCAAAAATGCTACCAGTAGTTAAGAAAACAATATAACTGTCAGAAAACATAAGCTTGTTTTACATACTTTTGATATTTTTTTCATTATTATAATACTCTATGCTTAGGTGCTTCCTTATGCCTCTTGCGATATAACACAAAAACATCGACTTTTTTTTATACAAAATTTATAATATACATATTTACATGTATATTTATCACCAGACCATTTCAGTTTAAAGGAGCAACAAACATACACACACAAACTTTCGAATTTATAACAGTAGTGTGATAAGAATACAACAGGTAATATTTATTAAGGACGACACGTTTGAATCAGTTTGTTGTGATCCTATTCTTCACTCGGAGTTGTTGGTCAATTTTCTTTTTAATTTGGCTTAAAAACAAAAAAAAACAAAAAACTTGAATAAATCCAAAAAAAAAAACAAAAGTAAAAAGTTTGTGTCCAACCGGGATTCGAACCCGGACACCTGTTATTATCTTATTCCTTGGCCACTTGACCACGGCGCTTATGCCTGAGCGTGCGAAATTAACAACCATATTTTGATTGGAATAATGCGAAAGAAAACCGCATGAAAACTCGAAAACACGCGTTTTCCCAGACATAAGACTAATCTAGATCGATTTTTCGCCCCCGAAAACCAAATTATAGCGAAATCGTTAGAGCCCATTCCGAGATCGCCGGTAATAAATAAATAAATATACAAGAATTGCTTGCTCAAAGGTATTAGATAATCATTTTTCGGTATATAATTAAATTATACAACGAAAATGAATATTATTACATATACCGATGAACCATTCCCGCCTATTGAAATGGCATAACGTTTCAGCTGACTCATAATGGAAGCATAAATCAAAACTTTAACTTGTAACATTCCAAACAATGAACCTACACGCACTGTGGTGATTTTACTGAGCTATTAATAGATATTGTGTTACTAATAGAAATTTAGTTATCAAAAAGTGTATAATTTTTATATTTTAGTATATTTTTGAATATTATACCAATAATAATTGTTACAGACAGTATCTTTTAAGACGTTTAAAATCCTAGTTTCTCTCGTGGCAATGTTTGCTGTAAAGCATTCGAAACGTCGGGAACAAAAATTTTGGAAAATCTTATTTAAATAGTCTATATTATCGATACAGAGGCCGAATCTATAGTTTTTTTGAATTTTAGTCTGTCTGTCTGTCTATCTGTCTAGGAAGGCATCACGAGAAAACCACTGGACAGATTTTGATGAAATTTTGTATTACTCACTAGTGATATGACTCAAGTTCAGGGCTCAAAGATAAGCTCAATTTTCTCAAATATATATAAAACTACGTATTTGAAAATAATATAGTAATATATTTATGTCTAAAATAACTAACCTTGTTATTAGATGTACCAATTGTTACATTATAAAAAATATGTGTCATAATACTGTCTTAGGAACCAAAAATCAAAATAAACTCGCGAAAAAATCCGAAAAGATAGTTTCATTTAAAATATGTGTCACATAATCCACTTAATTTTATTTAATATAAGTTATGCCTTCAAAAACTCGAAAAATGACTACAAAAATAGAATTAAGTTTTTCACTTTATATCAATTATCAATAGATTTTGAGGACATAAGCTATGTAATACTGATGATGATGATGTTCGCCTGACCGATTCCGGCCACGGCGGCCAATCTCATTGAGACTAGCCAACTGCGCAGGAGATATTATAGTGCACAAGTGTACGCGCAGACACAACGTGCACTCTCTATTCCTGTCACTCTCATACTCTGGTGGGACGACCACTCGACACGACCAGTGAGAGTTAAGACGCAGGACCGACGACTTTACGTGCTCTCCAAGGCACGGGGGTGAAACACCGCCAACTTCCCAACTCCGGGCTGTTACTGAGACTTACTATACAGAAAGACTCAATAACTAAACTTGGCCCGACCCGGGACTCGAACCCAGGGCCTCCGGGTGTGTAGTCGTACATGCTAGCCACTACACCACCGAGGCTATGTAATACTATTAGCGTAGGTGATAATATAAGGGGTCCATTCCATCGAATATACGGATCTCTAAAAAGAAATTAAAATATCATTGATAATGCACTAATTTGTATAACCCACAGCACTTATTAATTTTAGACAAATATGTCAAAACATTTTACATCTAAATAAAACCAATGTATATTAAAATAAGTAACCAAACGCAACAAAAACACGTACGCCCTATTTGAAGTGGCAGTAAAACTAGTAAACGGTGCTGGTATCGCGAACGGGCCATTTGCCCTTTCCCATTGAACATAGCTTATGGCTAAACCGTCTAACATTGTTTTGTAGGAAAGTAGAATATAAATGTTACCGTGACAAAATGATGACAGTACAACTAAAATACGTAAAAGCAGAAGTATGAAACTCATTGGGATTAAATGGCTTATTTAAAATATAAAAATAATTCAAAATTATTTTAATGGCAGTTTTGGTGGCAGGGGCTAATCTCTGAATCTACTGAATCGATATAGATGAAAGGTAAGAAGAAAGATAGAGGCCTTAGGAAGTACATAGGATATTTGGAGGATTTTTATCCCGGAAATAATCTCTTAAGGAGAGTAAAATGAGGATGAAAAATCGTACTGGGAAGCAAGCTATTATGTAAAGTAACGTGTAATTGTTTGATTAAAATGTAATAATAATAATACGTTTTCTACGCGTATTTCGAATTTCACGCGCGCTATGATTAACTGTGACTAAAATTGGGCTTGTTGAACTTATTTAGTGAAGCTTTTCTGTACAACCACTTGCATTTCTGTTTGCACTTTTAAATGATTTCAGAGCAACAAATATAATTATATTTTATTTATGACATGCTTGAATTTACGCAATCTATTAGACTAACGGAGAAACTTTGCTTCTCTATTCTACGTGACATTGGCGAAGTAATTTGTACTCAACTGGCACGCTTTGAAGCCATTCACAAGAGAATTGAATTGAATAACGGAATATTCTTAAATATGTTAATATAGCTTCTGTGACATCTCTAATATTTTATATTAAATTAAAATAAAGGTGGCATTAATGATTATATTGTTCGATTCTCTGGTCAAATAAAAATTTCTATAGGCAGGAATATGGATTGCAATTTATCGGCTTTAGGGGCAGCGGTGCGTGTTTACTCGATAAAGGAAAGGCTTTCGATTACTAAATTTTTACTCTGTATAACTTGTACGTAAACAACTTTTATCGTCGGTTTTTTTGATACGATCGATATAATAATAAAGAATTATTTTATTTCAAACGACACAAATCCATATTTTAAATGTAATAATTAATCTTAATATGTATATTAATTATTTACTAATACATACATATACATATATTGCCTAACTACTTCATTCACCTAGTTGCTAACATGTAAGGCTGCAAATCTGGAGAACCTGAGTTCGAATCCCGGGTCGGCTTAAGTGTCGATATTGGTTTTGTTGTCAAGAAATCTATAGTAACAGCCCCGAAATGGGAGATTGGCGGTGTCCCAATCCCGTGTCCTGGAAGGCACGTAAAGTAATCGGATCTACGTTTTATCTCTTACCGATCATCCCGTCGGACTTTAGGAGGGGTGAGACTAGAGAGTGCACATGATTTGACAAAAAGGTCACTGGGTTACCATTAAATATTCTTAACAATTGTTTTCGTTTATTCTAATATAATTTAGAATCATGGACAATTTTTTTAGTTAACTGCAACGTTGCGTTTCTTACTATTCTTAAAAAATCCTCACACTTTTACTACCACATATCACTATCTTATACGTAAGCCAGTTGTACGGCAAACATACACAGCTACAGAGAAGTTAAATATAACAATGACGTCTTTAAATTAGATTCTAAGATTTTTTTGACAATTTAATAATGCTTTGATCAGAAAGAAGTATAAAATAATAAAAACATTTTAAAATAATGATCTAAGCTTCTCAACTTAAAGTTACACTTTAAAATCATTTATTCAGTTTTGTTTCGTCTTCTATACATATAATAAAATTGTAACTAAGCCGAATCTGTACATTAATTTTTTTTTGAAAAATCTTATAGAAACAGAATTATTATCGATACAGAGGCCGATTCTATCGTTTTTAGAATTTTTGTCTGTCTGTCTGTCTGTTACCGCATCACAGAAAAACCACTGGAGAGATTTTGATGAAATTTGGTATGGTGATAGCTGGTTATCCGGGTCAACATATAGGATACTTTTTACCGCGGGAAAATATCTCATTTCTGAGAAAAAAATACAAAAACTGCAATGTAAGAGTACTTACTAATATGTAAAACCTAAGAACTTGGTTTTTGTTCATCTGAACGCGGACGGAGCCGTGGGCAATGCTAGTCAAAAATAAAAAACTATTAATTTAAGAAAAAAAATTAAAATCCTTTTTTTTCTCTCAAGTCGGTCAAAAACCTTTTTATTACAAGGTATATAAATAAATTTAAAATGAGAGCAATTCAAAGGTACAATAGCACTGATTGCGGCGTATACTCGTAGCTTCAGACACGTAAGTGTATCGGCATTTGGCTCCAGAGAAAGTGTTCATCGGGACGCGACACACGTACCTTTCTGAATTAGACCAACGATCCCAATACTATGTTAAACATACTGAAATTGTAGATATTGCGAATATTGCGAATGGTCCTATCAAAATATCTCGAGTTTGCTTTTTATTTCTACCATTTTATTTTGAGTTCATTATATACTTGTTAACTATATAAATATTTATGTTTCGTACCGGTTTTTTGAGCAATATAGTTTTTTTTTTAATTTAACATAAAAAAATATATATGATACTTTAAATAAAACTATCTTTTGGGATTTTCCCGTGACCATGATTTCTGTAAAACATTACAAACGTCGGGAACCAAAAATCAAAATTGATTCGCGAAAAACTCCGAAAAGATAGTTTTATTTAAAACTATTAGAACCTGCAACTTTGCTCGCGCCAAAACTACAAAAAAGCTCTAAAAAGTGGGTTTCATACAAACTTTCATCCCGTATTTTACCCTCTTAGGGGTTGAATTTTAGGGCTTGGCCTGTGTTTAATACATCAGTCAATCACTTTTGCCTTTTATAAAGGGTCATTTTTAATATACTGAAAACCTTTTGGGAATATACTATTTACATCATAACAACAAGGTCTGTAACAAGAACAAATAATATTTCTTAAATTTTAATTTTCATACAAAAATAAAAAAAATTTTTTGCACCATCTAAACTTTAAAGTTCTAGTATCTGGCCAAGTTTAAATGAATAAGCGCCGCATCCTACCCCCTCCACTCCTACCCCTCCACCGGACATGCGCGTTCTTTTGCTAATGCGGGACTATTATTGTTTAGAAGGTGCTATAAAAATATTTATATATTTGTAAAATTTAAGATATATATTTTTTTCTTTACATAAGAAATCACATTCAAATCGAATCAAAGGCTTATTTACTCATCTTTCTTCTCAAACCCAAATAAAGCAACATAAGTTTAATAAATCACAAACAGTCACGTACGAATAAGCAATTCTAATACTATCAAACACTTTCAAAATAGAATTGATAGTAGGTATATAACAGATATTGAATTCTACACTACAAGATTGGTATGTCACTGCGTCGAAGTAAAGAGCGTTGCAGGCAGAACGCCGCCTGTCATGTACAGTCTCCGCTTTAACCTGACGACGGAAATCATACGCTTGTGACTCGATAACAGCTCAGATATTCTAGATTTAGGTTTTAGTTAATAATACTTTTTAAAAACGTCTAGTTATTTAGTATTTACTATAAATATAAATGATACTAGTAACTCACCCTCCTTTTAACGGTTAGTAAGGAATATACAGACAGATGGAGTATATTGTTGTACTGTATTCAGCCCTTTTTATGTATTCCCAATGCTGAGCACGGGCCTCCCTTCAATACGAGGGGTATCAGATCATAGTCCGCCATGCTGGTCAAGTACGTTAGCGGACTTCACATGTCTTTGGAAAACTTGCTAAGTTCTCTCAGACATGCAGGTTTCCTCACGATGTTTTCCTTCACCGTAAGGTAAGTAGTAATCATGTTAGAAATGATTCACACATGAAAATATCAGAGGTGCGAGACCCGGGATTTGCACCCGCTTCACTCGGTTTCCCAAGCGAGCGCGTTACCACTGGGCTACCACTGCCTTGATGGTGCTGATATTATATGATACTAGCATTGCCCGCGGCTCCGCCCGCGTTCAGATGACCAAACACCAAATTTTTAGGTTTTACATATTAGTATACTCTTAAATTGCAGTTTTTATATTTTTTCTCAGAAATGAGACATTTTCCCGCAGTAAAAAGAATCCTATATGTTGACCCGGATAACCAGCTATCATCATACCAAATTTCATCAAAATCCCTCCAGTGGTTTTCCCGTGATGCGGTAACAGACAGACAAAAATTCTAAAAACCATAGATTCGGCCTCTGTATCGATAATAATCTCTATTTCAATAAGTTTTTCCAAAAAATATTTAATGTACAGATTCGGTTTAGTTACAATTTTATTATATGTATAGATATAGCCTATAGCCTTCCTCAATAAACAGTCTATCTAATACAAGAATATTTTTTTAAATCGAATTATTAGTTCCCGAGATTAGCGCGTTCAAGCAAAGAAACAAACAAACTGATAATATTAGTATAATGTCAATATATTGTAACGGAACGTCCCGAAAACTGTGTCAATGGATGTATATAATGGCATATTATGGTTGTATGAAGTCGATGTACGAAGAAGCTTTTATTAATATTTTTTGTGAGCCGTGAAACAATTTTTATGTAAATTTACTTCTCATATAAATAAAGGTACTCTTCATCAAGATATAAACGATAAGATGTAAACAAATGGTTGATAAAATAAATTCCTATCCTTAGAGTGAACGAAATCAATATTCTTGAACAATAAGGGCTTCCGTAAAGATAAATGTGTATGGTACAGAAGTTCGCAAGAAAAAAGCAAAGTTTGCGAATTCCGGATTCCCAGAAACCCCAGAATTCTTGAGATCATTCCTAAACAAATATAAGATATGATCAAAAAATACTATACACGCTTATTACAAAGAAAAATTTAAGGAATTAGAAGCTCTAAATTAAAAGAAAATGGAACAAAGAAACATATTTGATTATCTTATGTAAATTGAACGCAAGTTCAATTACTGTCACTTCTACCATACATTAAAACAAATCTCGTACTAAATATTTATAAGTGTACATCACACTCAATGCTTACACTACGAAGTAAACTTTAAAACGTATTCATCTCACATCTAGCGA